TTCGAATGTCGGGAATATACGCGTGCGAATACGCTAATGTACCCACCGTATATCAACGATTTTGCCCAGTGTCGAAACAATATCTATGTTGTTAGGACTCAGTATTAAATTAAAGAGCATTGCATCAACTTTTGCTTGACATCAACCTTGCAAATGATGAATTTGCTGAAACAAGTCGCGTTTTTAATAATTGTTCAGTTTTGGCTGAATTGCTTGAAGACGTGCATACTTGAAAGATTCTCCCGTTTCGTTATGTTTGTGTACATTTCCAACAGATTCTCGATTATAAAACATATCTATCTAGATCTAGTACGGCACAATACAAGTCAACTGATTGTACATTTACGGAGTGTCGATTCGTCCCAACGCTGTTTTCGTACCAGTACAGCAGTTTGTCCCAAAATGCTGCTTCGTGTCAACGCCGTTTCATCAAGTTCATCGATTTTGATACATATATTTTGTTTCGGCTGTACCATTCGGAAAGAAGGAATTCGAGACAGGTGTCACGGTGGTGCATGTGCAGTTCGATACTACTCCCTCCGCTGTTTTTTATGACCGCAATTAAATAGCAAACTGATTGTTAAATTGATCGTTTTGCTAAAGAACCACTCATGAAATTATTGCACGCGTATCGAAGACTTTGTTTTCAAAAGGCCAATGACACCCACATCCGGTTACTCTGATCTTGGGTGCATAATATAATAATGCCGTGAATATTTTGTTGCGTGAATAATAGTTTCAATAAATTAATTAATTAAATAAGTATACGAAAAAACTCGCTAACAAATAGGGCATGAAATCTTTAATACTTTATTTCATGGAAAAAGCATAGCAACTAACAGGGAAAATAAACGTTCTAGCTGTAAAGCCACGAAGGCCGGATTACAATGAGTGAGCTGAAATCTCGCGCGAAGACGTTCGTGACATAAGATTTGTTGTAATCCTGTCAAAGGTTACGCACCTCTTGAACCAAACAGGTCTGGAACGTGCGTTTATTCTGGTTGAGTTCAGTTTGTCGTAATCGATTGTGTTGATTTTATTTACCTTGTTCGCGTATATTGCCGATTCTTCCAATGAGAAAAGATACGCTAGTGAGATTACTCGTATATTCATTTAATTATTGTCACCGCTTAATACACTATAAATTATAATCACAAAACTGGTTGAGTCTGTTCTTAGCCCTATTTCTCCAGAAGACTATACTTCAGAAATATTTCGGAATATCGACAATTCACGTGTTAACAGGCTTCCATTGCTGGATGTCACATACCATATACTAGTACATTCACTCGATGTCACGGTCGATCCCTGTTGTGTAATACTATAAACATGTACACCACTAAAGATAGTTTGTATATGCTAATAATATTTTTTTTAATCTGAAATTGATATTAAATCGGAATAGTACGATTTAAAATATACTTCGTCGTTATCAAATCATTGTCTCAGCATCTTGAGCTTCAATAATTAATTCAACGAAATCATGGGCCATTTGTAAATCTTCACTAGAACCGAATAGCATTGGGTCGAAACCAAAACGCAACGACACTGAAAAAGGCAAACCCAGTAGCAAACTGTATTTTGTCAGATAACAGGAGTAAGGCTATTTTAAAAATTCAGATTCATGGCCAAGTGCTTCCTGGACCGTACGACTCAATATGCCGATTTTTGTTTGCAACCTAAACGTTGCAATCACAGATGTAATATCAAAAACCAGCAGAAACTTATCAGCAGTGATACAACTTAGCATTGTACAAATGTATATCAGCCATCGACACATTCAGAAACGTCGAGGGCAGGGAAGCGAAGCGTCCTGTGCACACAAAAGCGAGCTCAATTGTCGGCAATCTGATTAAAATCTGATGTAGTGTACGGGCTTTAATTATTTTGGCTATAAACTTATTTTAATTTTATTTTTTATTATATTTGTTATTGATGCCCTTTTATTTAATTATTTTACTTTGATTTTGAGATTTTTTAAAATTCCGCCCTACCTACATCTGATCCGACGCCTATGTAAATCCCGTTCAAATCTCGCGTAAGTAACAGGCAATCACAGCCCCCCTTTTATACAGGCTGTCGGTTACTTACTTTTCAGTGTATACGGGCAATCTTTCTGTACATTATATTTTGCCCACTTGAATAAACCATTAATAGAAAATTGCTAGTATATTTTTATTTGCAAAAGAAATTCCACAGCATTTTACAATTTTTGTCATTACATTGAATATTTTTTTCACTTCCAACAAATGTGTACACTTTCAGATACATCTTCGCCAGCCAAGGTTCGTTCATTCAGTTATCGCTTCAATTTTACATCACTGAGCATAATTATCTAGAATGGAAGCAAAAAAATAAATAAATTGTAATGATTAGAACACTGTAAACAGCTATAGTAAACAAT